AAGTCGATTAGTTGTCTTTTCCCAGCAGGGACGTGCGAGATTTTGGAAAGGACAAAACAAAACTAAAGTAGTCTGCAAATAAGTTACTCTAAACTTTTGGTGCTAATCTAAGAAATGACATCCTTCAAAATCAATTTCCCCAAATTTCTTTTACTATTACTCGATCATAATCGTTCTACAAGGGAACTGCTTTACTTGATGTGGACGTAGTAGTTTCTCAATGGCGATGTGCGCCACTTTATGATCATGATGCAAGAAAATGTCTTACTGGAATTCTCCGATTATTTCATCGAAATACGCATACAGCATAGAAATCTATACCTCGATTTATCCTTCCGGCGTCTTTTCGGTGATCGCGACCTGGATAGGGAAAAAGAAAAAAGGATGAACAGTCCAAATAAAATTTGTACTCATGTTATGAAGAAGTTTATTCGAAGTTTCTGATTCACTTTTCATTATCGTCATCATCGTATCACAAATCGATCTCAAAATCTGTTTGGTATGACCTGCTGGTTGACCGCCTTCAACGGCGCCGTCTTTCAGGTGACCAGGAACGTTTACCGATGGAAAATGTTCACCATATCCAAAGCATTACCCCTTGCGAAAACCGATCAGACACATCCTCGACAAAGATAACCACCAAGCAACTTCCACGCGAATCAAACGTCAAACGATGCCATAACAGACATTTGATAAAAAATCTGTCAAGCTGTGAAGTTGTCGTACAACTCGAAACACTTCCAGCCGGAAGTTTTCGCCGGGAGACTTTTTGCGTCTCTTGTAGTTTTACTCTGTACATTGTTGATTTCACTTGAAAAAAAGCTTCTGAAGATATATCAGAAAATATATAACCAAGACAATCGAATAAGAAAGTGGTATTTGACATAGTTTGACGCTACTCTGGTTTGCAGATTTAACGAATGTAACCGAAGAAGTTACAATTCATAGACCCAACGTTTCGACACTCCTGTCTAGTGCCTTCATCAGGGGTGATCTAAACGCTGCAACAAGAGGTCCTTTTATATGATCACTAATTAGCTATGGGTGGCCGTCACCACCAAAACTACAAGGATGTCAAATAGAGTTGGACTATTACGTACAACGTACAACTACAACAATTACGGTGTCCGCACTAGCCTTCCTTGCTACGTGATGACTACGGAATGGGAAAGAGCACAGGGAAGATAAGTATGTATGCGCGCAAAACCAACTCAGAAAAAATATTACTCTGGCAAAAACTATTCGGAACGCGAAAAAAACCCTTTAACTGTTTCCGGTCCAGACATGTAATCTACGTTTGATCGACAAAATAAAAATGGAACTTACTTTTACTATCACTGCACCCAGGGAAAAAATTAATAAACAAAGCAATATAATGTACACCTCTTTAAAATAATAAATATGTCTTCTATTAGCTTACTCTTATCGTCCGGCACACCAATTAAAGCATTCCGATATCACTTTGATCGAAAAATGTCAAAACAGATCAACACACACAATATTCAACTTCTCACGTACTCCTCCAATGTTCAAAGAGCCGTTGAAGTTGGACTCTCATTGAAAAGTAAGCGTGAGTCGGAGCAAGAAAAGAGAGCAATTGACATTTAATGCACGTACTCCTCCAATGTTCAAAGAGCCGTTGAAGTTGGACTCTCATTGAAAAGTAAGCGTGAGTCGGAGCAAGAAAAGAGAGCAATTGACATTTAATGCACGTCATAACACTACTTAATACTATAAACATATTCAGGCCCACCAACGCGTGCAAACTGTGGTAAACCAAGAGGCCGGCAAACCGTGGTAGAATTCAGTCTCGTTGCTATTTTAATTGACGCTTTCATGAACGACAACGAATAAGTGCGATATCAGCAGGGGAAAAAAAGAGGAGAAACTTACCGAATTGGCTCTGTTTTACGGCAAAGCGAAGTGAAGACTATTCCATACAGCGACTACGCAGCTGATGACGTCATGCCCCCAGCAGATCGCTGTTCCATTTGCGGTTTGTATTTTTGGTGGTTTCGGTGAGATGCCTTGGCGGCCGTCACCGCCAAAAATACAAGGATGCCGTATAGATCAGCAAATACAAAGATGGCTTAAGGATCAGCTGCAGGATAGCATAGCTAATAAAGGAACGGCATGGCCTTCACGTCACGCCACGACGATTCGCCACAACATCGAAATATTTCAAGTAATACTAAGCAATTTAATGTTCAGATAGAGCGTCTGATGTTTTGCAAAGCTATTCGACCTAACGCTACACTATTTGTGTCTACGCTGTACCATTCTACATTACGCTGAGCCATATCACGCAACGCTACACCATTTGTGTGTACGCTGTGCCATTCGACATTATGCTAAGCCACTTCACGCAACGCTACACTGTTTGTATGTACGCTGTAACATTCGACATTACGCTGAGCCATTTCACGCAACGCTACACTGTTTGTATGTACGCTGTACCTTTCGACATTACGCTGAGCCATTTCACACAACGCTACACTGTTTTTATGTACGCTGTACCATTCGACATTACGCTGAGCCATTTCCCGCAGCGCTACACCATATGTGTGTACGCTGTACCATTCTAAATTACGCTGAGCCATTTGACGCAACGCTACACCGTTTGTGCGTAAGCTGTGCTACTCGACGTTACCCTGAGCCGTTTAACGCAACGCTACACCGTTTGAGTACTGTTCCAACTCAACATGGGCTACTAGACCGTTCCTCATTTGGCTAAACTATTCATGTTTAGGGTGTTCTGTTTCACGAAGGAAAACTAGAATGTCTATAATTTGGCCATGCCATTCCTTTATTAGCTATGCTATCCTGCAGCTGATCCTTACACCATCTTTGTATTTGCTGATCTATTTGACATCCTTGTATTTTTGGTGGTGACGGCCGCCCATAATTAGCGGCCTTTTTTCTGACGAGGTGTAAATAGGCGTCAGGAAGCAAACCGCCATCGTCACGATTTAAAGGAGCGTTGGCGGAGTTAATATGCCAAGCCTCCAAACAAAGGCGCTGGTGGTAACGCCGATTAGTGGTGATAATTTTAGAATTATCCCACCCAATTGTATGGTTGGTTAGGCATGTATGTTCCGATAAAGCTGAATTTTCCTTTTTGCAAAGAAAAACCGCTTTTTGGTGCTCTTTTAACCGTGTACCAAACTGACGTTTGGTCTGTCCGATGTATTCGTTGTCACAGTCATTGCAAGGAATAGAATAAATGGCGTCGGTTTGTTGTTCTTTCATGACAGGATCCTTAGGTTTGGCGAAAATATGCCCCAAAGTCTGAAAAGGTTTTTGAGCAACTTCAACGTTGTGGCTATTCAAAATTCTCTTGATGGGTTCAGTAACACCCTGTATGTAAGGAATAACAACAAATCCAGTCGCTGGTTCCCTTTCATCAAGAGCGTTACTATTTGTAACTGGTTTTTGGCAGTTACGGAGAAAAGTTTTTGTATAGCCATTTGCCTTTAGGACATTGGAAACATATTTCCTCTCCTCAGCCTTCGAATCGGGTGAAGATGGTAGACAGCAGCCCCCCTAAGTAAAGTTTGGCTACGGACTTTTTACGGCAAATAGGGTGGTGAGAATCGAAAGCGAGGTATTTGTCGGTGTGGGTAGGTTTACGGTAGACACTTGTCTCTAAATTACCCTGAACCCCTCTGGACACATTTAAATCAAGAAAGGGCAAATGTCTATCCTTTTCACGCTCAAGGGTGAATTGGATCGACGGCTCTACTGAATGTAAGTGCGACAAGAGGCGCTCCGCTACATTTCCGGATACTGCAGAAATAACATCATCGACATATCGTTTCCAGAAAAAGGGTTTAACCGGTGAAGTGGCTAAGGCCCTTTGTTCTACGTCTTCCATTACCATGTTAGCAATGACAGCAGAGACGGGCGGACCCATCGCTGTACCAAAAACTTGTTGATAGTATGTGCCGTTATATGTAAATTGCGTGGTTTTGAGGCAAAAAGACAGCAGATGGATAATATCCTCCACAGGCAAAGAAGTTCTTTGTCCCAGGGAAGCATCTTCTCTGAGTCTTTCCTCCGCAACCTTAACGGCAAGATCAACTGGGATTTTGGAAAACAACGTCGAAAGATACTAATTCTTCACAAGCGTTAAGAGTTTTATCTCTTATGAAATCCGCAAATTCGCAGGAATTTTTGACAGTTTAATCAGTATTCCCAACAACAGGCGACAAAATTCTCGCAAGATAACCAGAAATTGCATAAGTGGTATTTACTATTCCATTGGCATGACTACGTTATTTGTTATTCCGAGATTTCCAAACCCAATTGTTTATTATAAAGCTTTAAAACCCGTTATTCATTATTCATTATTCAGCTTCCACCCCCGATTTAGAACATCACCTTCACTGCCAAACGAAGGTAAAATCAAAGGCAAAAGAATCGGAACAGCTTTAATTCAGGATTCCGTCTTTGGTCTCGAATGACAAAGTGACATCGACTATAACCCCTAAATTAATTGAAAACTCTCTAGGCCTTTGGAAGCGGAAGCGTAACCCGATTGCATGACACGTGCCCTAAAAAGTAGATCAATCACAGGGGGATCAATATCAGTATCTGGGCAACTACCTACCTACCCCTCCCTTAACCCAATAAAATTAATTAAAAATTTGGTTTCTTTGAATATTCGCCAAATTGTAGACTTTAATGAAGAACAAAGGCTAAGTCTCTTCGTTTCTCTTTGTTATTCTGAATCTTGAACCTTCAAAGGTCTAAGATTTCGCCGTCTACAGTCAAAATAGAATTGTTTTATCCACACTCTCAGCAGCTAACTTCCGCTAACAATAGACGCGATGGGAAGGATTCGGGGTAGTAAGACGGCATTTGGAATAACAGCTACTGACCTTACCTGTTAAACGCGGATCAGTGTGTTCTTTCCATCTTTGGGATTCTTTCAAAGTGGTTGAAACATTGTCTCTGTGTTGACTTACTTTAGCTTTTTGTAACACTCGAGAGTCAGTAGGTAAAGTGCACTTATTTAATTTTTTCGATATTTTAAAGCGACTAAAACTAATGAACACAAAAATGCGAATGAAAAGGCAGGTTTGAAAATGAGAAATGATAAACAGCTTGGTTAAAAAGAACTTCTCCCATTCAATTTTGTTTGCTTTCTAAAAATTGCCTTTCAACAATGAAAGGTTCTTAAATTAAGGTACAGCTCAAAGATCTATACAGTTTTGGCTTACATATTCTTAAAAACATTCTCTCTATATATAGATGAAAGTGATCTATCCGGAGTAAGGCCTGCAGTCTGTAAGAGACTGCACACTTTAAAGGTGTAAGTTAACAAAAAAGTTACGTAAGCTCAGGCTAAATTGCCCAGGAGTTGGATGAGAATGTTTATTTCTATTAGAGGTTGCAATGAAAACACTCAAACCTCGTAACTGCCATAAGAAATTTCTTGAACTACATTTGTATTTGCTGCTTGATAAGGAGATAAGTAAACAATGCAGGCTTCGATTGTTCGAAGGGTGGATAACGCTTTCTTATTGGATAAATCCCTATCCAGTGGATAGCGCAGTACGGTTTATACTCACTTCTCCACTGGTTAGTGATTTATCCGTCGGACAGCGTTCTGTCCTTTGAGCAAGTGAGCCCTGAAAAAAGCTTATATTTAGAAGGAGTCTTCTTGTTCGACCATGTCTTCAGGCTGAACGTAAGCATTTCTTCTGCTTAGTTGTTCATCTTGGGTTGCGTACTGGTCTCCAACCTTGTTTCTGTTCATGAACCGTCGTGCCATGCGGTACTTGACAAATAAGACAGCCAATGCAGCAACTGCAACTAGAGCAAATCCCCCAGCGCCTGCTACGCCACCAATCAGCGCAGTTTGCTTGTTTTGACCTGAGTCTGAAATTTGAACGCAGGGGAGGAATCAAAGCTCAAGCGAGGACCGAAGAAAGGGAAACATTTGAAATTAAACGAATAGCTCAGTCTAATTTGCCTTATTTCTGTTAATGAAATTAGTTGTGGAAAAGAGAGAAGAAAATAACTTAATATTTATAAGCAAGAAACTAAAATCAACTGTTAACTTGATTTAAAATCGCCTTAGTTTACCTATTTCCCAGTCCTTTAATACTCATATTTTTATTTTTGACAATAGAAAAAATGAAAATGCGACTTACATATTAGGACCTGACTTTCTTTTTTTAAGCTGTGTTTTGAAAGTTTTCCTCATCATCATTATCATTTTTGAACCAGTGACAAACTACCCAATTTGAAATTTAGGCAAGACAGCCGGCGTTGTTGGCATGTCTTACACAAGCTCTGCAGTATTTGAGAAAACTTTATCTATTTCAATCCCTTATTTTTCACATTATATGTGAACTTGCCTCCTGGTTCTTCGTCCTGTTGAAATATTAGTGGTCCTCGTGTCAGAGTGACTTTGGTAGTACTCTCTTCATGTTCTGTTTCGTCACGGGTAACATCCCTCCGCTTTCTATTCTTACTTCCCACACAACTTCGGGTGCACCTGTCAAAGTTGTTTAGGAAGATTTGAATGAGCTTCGAACGCCTTTGTTATATTGTGAGTGATGAAATCATATTGCACTCAAATTTCTCAATCGTGGCTGTGATATTCGTCAGTGATAGATGTTTATTCGGCATCACCTTGCCTACAGTGTTTCTGTACGAGTTAGTTAACTCACCTGGAGTTTGGAGAGTATTTATGACAGGCCAAAACTTCGCAGTGAATGTACACCTGATCGTAGTCCTTAAAGAATCTGAATGCTCTGATTTTAAACTGCTGGTAATTCCTTTGGGGATCAAAGTTGTATTCCATGCTGGTATCTTGCGGACATCTGTTGGTAGTGAAAGTAAGAAATAAGTTGAAATTCATGCGCGCATGTAGAACATTTTGCTCATTGTCACTTCAGTCTGTTTCTTTCTAATTCACGCTGCCACTAGAAAACTTCCTTAAGAATATTCTGGATAATTATAGCTTTCAAAAGCTTGAATATTTGGTAAGGAAATGTAAAAAGGATTTTGTTTTTGTGATATAACGCCTTTCCCCAGAAACATGATGTGATGATGGCCTATATGGTCCAAGTCCATCCGTTCATTACTCCTTAGAATCAGTAAAACGTTCGAAGTTGTCCTTTAGTAACGCCGACCGCCTCCATACTTTGCATCACGAATTAAGCATTCGCAGCACAGGGGACTACAAAACCTTAAAGCATATAGATGTCATATATATAGAAAGAAATCTAGGTGATATGAAATAGTGAATCGTTGATTAAATTGGCTGAAACCTGCGTATTTTTCCAGGAAGACCATTCACACTTATATGTTGGAGTACCATACATACCCGTTCAGTATAATAGAGTATTGTGGCCAGGAGTACAAGCTCCCAGTTTTAGTGGCCCTACATGTCACGGCCATTATCACCAGATCAGCACTGGATTCTACACTGTATTTCACATACAAGTACTGATTGACAGCCACACTCAGGGGGTAGTCCTGCTCAGTATAGGGTGTGGCAAATGACGAACTCTTGTAAAAGTCAATTTTAAAGGTGAAGTTTCCATATCCAGCTGGAAAGCGGAAAAAGATAAAGTCATTTAGCACGTAAACGTGATAAATTGAAACAAATCTTCATTCCGCTGTAGACATAAAAGGATGGCATCTTCCTGAGAAGCAAAGTACCTAAGCTAAAAATGCATGTTGCTGATTTGGAGTGATCAGAACGAGAGCTGGAAAGTTTCATTTACCTTCTGTTCCAAAGTGTAGATGCTGAGGCTTGAAACCCAGGTTGACCCATTTCCTTCTCGAATAACTACAATAAAATGGAATTTTGACGTCATGTGATCTAGTTATGACATTGTCGATAAGGACCACCTCCGTTCGGATTTCATTCCAGAAGATAAGATCATCTTCAGTATCGTTCAACAGTGTTCCGCAACCATTCAAAGGAGTGCTGATCAGCAGATGGGTGTCATTCTGTGTGGCTTTACACGAGGAGTACCTCAAGTGTAGTCGGGCAACGTCAAAAAATGGAAATGTCTTCTTTTCTAATGCAACCGTTATAATGTCACTGCAGTTAACAGAAACACCAGGTTCTAAGATGAAATTAAAAAGCAATAGCCTTAAATTTAGCAGGATTTAAATGTGTCCCAACTACTCGTGCGTTATCCATAATAACTTTGAGATGGTTAAGTCACAAAAAAGTACCATGCATCCACAATGTTTTTCTGCTTTCCTTTCAAATGGGCGAACACATGTGTATCTTTTGGACAGGAGGGATAACAAAATAAAGTCCTAAGACATATTAGTGCTGCTGAAATCTTGTCAAGCCCGCTGTTGCATTGGATAAAAAAATCTTATTTTTCCCGAAAAAAATATACTTGCATTACAGGAACGATCAGTCGTCTTTCGTTGTTGATCGTTGTTTATCCCCATTCTTAACAAAGGCAGAATTTTCCCTCAGTAGTCATATGCAGAAAGTTTAGTTTAGCATTCCTTACCAGCACAAGTCAAATTGTTAGCACCCATACTGGTTCCTTCCGGACAGCCGCAATAAAATGATCCGGGGATATTGTAACAATGATGGCTGCAGCCACCATTACTGATCGAACATTCATCAACGTCTGCGCAAAAGGGAAAAAAATAAGTTATAAAATTAATTGAAGAGAAACACACAGCCACCTCAAACATTCAAATAGTAAGCTAAACTTACCATGGGCACTTAAGGAGAACGGAAAGCGCGCACGAGAGGAGGAGAGCAATTAGGACAATTCTGAGGTCTATATGGTTAATCATAGGAATGAATAGCATTTAATTTTGTTCCTTACAATATCACCCCTGAATCACTCACAGAGGTAATAAGAATAGAGGAAATGATCACCAACTAAAGAAGTCACACAAATTCTCCTTGTAAACACACTAAGAAATGTATGTAGAACAGTATGGAGAATATGCATTCTGATGTATGGGTGTAAAGGGCTCATTGATCGGTAACCTTTGTAAAGTTTAAAACGACCGGCACGCGTTAAACGCTAAATTGGGATTTAAGCTGAACATCAAAAACACAACGATCTGCTATTTCAATTGCGCACGTGTTGAAAACAGAGTCTTTTTTTGTTTTTCTGTTCTACGAAAATCCATAGCGAGACTATGAGAATGTATCTAAAAAAAAATCTCAAAACTTATTTTGGTAGAATCAATTTTACCTAAGCACGATTTCCCGTCTGCGGCCAGTTGGTATCCACTAACGCAAGAGCAAGTGTAACTTCCTAACGTGTTGTGACAATTTTGTTCGCATTGCGCCGGTAAATGCAACTGGAACTGGGAAGGATCTGGCTGGACATTTACACTTGAAACAGCATAGAAGTTCGTTGTCATTGCAGAGGCAGGTGCCGGTTGGATTCCGTGCACTGCAAACAAGCATAGACAGTTCTTCTATTGTTATTTTTATCCTCACTCACTTAGTCCGTTACTGTATTTGGTGTATGCGGTTAAGTCTTTCAGCAATAACTAATTAATTCAAAATTTTAATTGTAAATTTTTTTACTTATTGCATCGTCTTTCAGCGGTTTCAGTTATTACTAGAGTTCTAGTCTCCGCGCAGCATTAGATCTGGTTGTTAATTCTCCCCTCTGGTTGCTACACAGAATTAGATGTAAGATTAAGAGAGCAACTTCTTCCTGATAAGTTTGAGTATACTCATCGCCTGTTTATTGGATAATGTATGGATATTATAGGGAGAAGTTATATAATAATCACACCTGGGAGTTAAAGGATTAAATGTTTTAACGCCAAATTTGTTGATTTTGCACGAGTGTCTCCATGTCGGTTTATTCACGAGTTTTCGTTTTGAACACGTATTCTACCTGTTATTACGTTCTTGTTGTCCTTTTTCCGTTCAATTTTCGTTTACCTTGTATTGTATCACTGTAAATTACTGTTAGATTTAGGTTTTTTTTTGGCATATTTTAGAAATCAATGGAAAAGTTAGTATATGCTGATAATTTACAGGTGCATTTGTTACAGAATATTTTCGAAACATGATCATTATGTGACGAATCGGAGGTTTAAAAAGAAATTTCGTTTGGGCGAGAAAGTTGTTTAGATATTTGGCAAACTTCGACACCTATTCGGAGCATTCGGAGTTCTTTCTCTCCGAGTATGCTGTGTCTTTAACTAAGTAACACCATCTTTTACATTGATTTAGTAGTCAGCGGAATTGTTTACCTCTGAACTGAGAGCTATGTAGATGGCTCCAATTAAACTACATAGAAATTCATACCATGCAGCATCCAAATTAACACCTTCACTTTAAATGTTATAAGGGTATGCCTTGATTTCTACCACACATCACTTACCAGGAGTAGCTGGGGTGACAGCGGCAATAGAGTGGGCTTTAAAAAGCAAGAATAAATAAGAATGGCTGTGCTAAGTATTGACGTTCATAACCACTAAGTATAAAAATGCATAATTACATTGAGAAAGACTGTCAAACCTGTTACATTTTTAGGCTAAGACACAAAACATACTTTGTGGATCATTCACCCAATTTTTCTGAGACGAGTCTTTCAGGTAGGAATAAAGCATTTTAGAAATGATAGAGCGTCTTCGATTTAATCCTACACATGCATTTCAGTTCCTCCTGATTACGAAGAAATCACAAAAATCAATCGGAGTAGAATAGCTGAAACTAAATTCATGTTAAAAGAAAAGATACTCACAGGGTGTTGGTGCGATACTAGTTGTGTTTAGAGCTGAAAATAAAGTAAATGAATATTCATTGAACATCATTATGTCAACCACAAGCATAGTACCTTTAATTTAAATGTAACTTACGTTTTCTCATAAACGACTACAATCTGGGAGATTTATTCAATGATTTAACTGCTCAGAGAGATGTAAGCCTCTTTTATTCAGCTATTGATGGATTAAGAGTGTGTCCATGAGAGCATCGGTCAGTCGTGCTACATGCTATCTCACCGATTTCAATGAAACTTTGCCAGTTTTAAGGGTTTACGGCCCGCTGCTGGTCAATATGTTGGGTCCAAGTAAACCATCCAAGTGATGAATAATGATTTTATTTCGGGAGTTCTGTATGGAAATGTTCGATGGCGGTAAGTGACAACGACAATACTATTTTAATTTTATTTTCGGGATAGTGGCACAGTTTTTAGTTTGATAGAGCTATTGATATTTGCTCTCAAGCGAGAGCGTAGAATTTCTCGTTTGTAGAAGCCGAAGTTGTAACACACTGGAACTTGTAATAATGTCAGCCAACACGCAGCGTGTGACTTTAAAATCTCCTAAAATGAGCAATGATGATGGTTTATCAAATTATAAACTAATGAATGTTTTGTTCTGTGCAAAAGCCATATTTGTTGATTTTAGCAAATCTCCAAAGTAATAAACGACGTAAGAAAGAAACGCTACGATTTTCCAATCGATTTTTCGCCTACATACATCTCTCTAAACGTGAAATTTTCCATTCCTACGAAAAATCTCGAAAGTTTTCCCCTTTTTTTAGCTTTCTTGATCAATCATCATGTATGAAGAGCTAAAAATGTAGGTTTATCGATCAAGTGACCGGCCAGAGCCAGAATTGCGTGACACGTGTAGATGAGAGAAACTTGTCACAGCCGTAGATTTTAAAAAGCATCCAAGACAAAAATACAATAGTGCCCAAAGATTTTTTTGATGGTTTTCAGAGATGAAATGATCGATGATAAAGGGGAATTAAGATTAGTGTTGTAGCTTTCTGGCAAGGGGAGATATTTAAGCTCAAAGTTGTCAAATATTTGGATGAATCGAAAAGTCTACAAACACAGTCGTTTATTTACCTCTGTTGATTGACAAGCCGTCAATCCAGTCGACCGATACTTGCTACGGACATTAACTAAGAATGTAATAATATGTGTGCAAGCCCTCAGAGTAGTTGGTTAAATAGCATCGCAGTGAAAGCTTTAAACATTTTACCTATTTTGAGGCGATTTCCTTGGTGAAAACCAAGAAAAGCCGGGGGTGGTCTATCTTCCCCCCGGAAAGAAACCAAACAGAAGCCACTTTATCTTTCTGAGTTTTGGGTAGACCTTTAAACTGGCAAAGGTTCATTAAAATTGGTGAGATGACATGTAGCACGACCGCCTGGTGCTCCCATTGACTGGGATTTCTAGCTTTCCTCCTTTAATGTAGGCTAGTAACCTAACCACTTATCGGTGAAATAACAGTTCTACTTCTTCCTCCTATTGAGATACAGGCAAATAGAGTATCTCTTATAAACTCGTTCGTTACACGTTATACGTTCTGTCTCTACAACCCTCATTCTAATCTCTATCCCAAGCTCTGTCACGGCTTTACTTTCTTTTTTGTGTGTGTCAGTATGTGGTCGCTCCTTTCATTTGTCTGTTTTTCGTTTTTCCCTGTTTGTCCATTTGAATATGTTTGCTGTTTGTCCGTATGATCGTCTCTGAACTATCTGTCTGCCTGATATTTGTATGTCTCTTGCAACTGTCTGTCTTTTTGTCTGTTGTTTTTCTACATTAATGTTACGCCTGTTTGTCTTACCTCCACCATTACCACAATAACGAAGGTGACAACCTCGCGGGGGCACAAGCTCGTACACGTAGAAACCGCTGCAGTTACGAACACGGATATTGGCAGACCACAAGCAACAATCAGAACCCCAATGGAAACACACTTTAGCCGTGACAATTCCATCAGTTACTCGTGGGTGCGAGCCATTCAACCAACCCGGTGCATGGGTGCCACATCGATATTGTCCTACACATGACGTGGGCATCTCTGTTCCCGCTGCACCATCAAATCGGTACCATCCAAACGGTAAGAAGCGATCACATTTGAGATATCCGTTTAAGCGGTAATCGTAACCCATGCTTCTTTCTGCCTCTGTTAGGTGTGAGTAATTATAGCATTCTGAATGCAAAAGAGGAAAAAAAATTGATAAAGAGAAAAGGGACAACAACATCAAAAATGAGGTACATAACTAATTATTAACATGGCCTGACGATGTTGAAAGCCTTAAAGTCGTTATCACACAAAAAGCTTTAAAGCAAGTCAATTGTGCATCGCTGTTTGTTAAACTCTGAAAACAGCTGCATAATGATAATCTAGCGAGCCATTTTGATAAGAGTGTCCAACCAATCGCATAAGCTTTTAATCAATTCTTTTAAGCCAACGAAAATCCCCTACGGTCCACATATTCAAAGAAACTGAGTTCTATTCCGCTTTACCTAATAACACCATAAGTTGTTATTACATGAACAATCTTTTTTTTTCAACAAATATATACTCATTTGATGGTAGATAGGATAAAACAAAGGGTTGAATTACAACCTGAAGGAAATGAAGGAGCTGCGCTGGCGGATGCCCATGGAGCTGTGGGGAAAACAAAATTGGTGAGGCTTCCTCTTGCATTCATCGAATTCACTATCAAGAGTTACGTCATCACTGAGTCTAAACGTTTTTAGATAAATTTAAAAAATTGCAAGATTTCGAACACGACGATTCCAACTGGTAAAAATCTTTAGTTTACAGAATCTTTGTTTAATTGTATTTGCCAACTCCAACCCCTTTGGTAAAAATTGTTTTTATCTTTTTGCTGTTGTTTGTTCGATGGTTTTTTATTTGTCCATTTAAGTCATGCCTTATAAAGGCAAATTTCTTGCTTTGCAGTGAATTTAGTAGAAAAAGTAGTCGTAGTATTATTAATGATGATAATAGTATCGGTCATGGTAGTTGCAGAAGTGGTTGTTGTAGTCGTAGAGGAAGAATAAAACAAAATATACCAGCTGAGGTAGGTGTTATGCCTTGTGAGATATCTGTGAAAAGAAATAGAGAGGTATTGTTATCGCGTTTGCCACTTCAGGAATATTTTTCCAAAGCTTGTTTATTACTTACCCAAAAATATGGACATATGCTATTGTACCGAATGTGCTGTAATCTCCTTATCGCATAATTTTTAAAAGTTTTATGTCAGACACAACAACCTTCATCGCAATTTTTTGAACAGGGAGACATGACAAATGCCATTAACCTCATACGCCAGATGGCAAAGATTTCTTCCCATCCTGGATCCGTCTCTCGGTATGTCTACTGACCGGTCTGTTGTCTTGTCTTTTGCCTTATTAACTGTTTATTAAAGAGGTGAGGTTTTAAGAAACTGTGGTGATGCGTCGGTAGAGAAATGTATCAAGATAGTTTGGTTTCATCAAATGAGTTGATAATGTAGATTGGCCGCCGGAAAGAGTTTCTAAAGCTGACATTTCAAGCGTTTGTCCTTCGAAAACTCTTAACCCTTTTACTCCCAGGTGTGATTATTATGTAACTTCTCCCTATAATATCAATACATCATATAGCAAACTGGTAATGAGTATACTCAAACTTATCAGGAAGAAGTTGTTATCTTCATCTAACATCTAATTCTGTGTAGCAACTAGAGGGGAGAATTAACAATCAGATGTTGGGAGTTAAATGGTTGAAAGTTTTCACGCTAAATTTGTTGGTTTTCCACAAGTATTTCTATGTCGGTTTATTCATGAGTTTTCGTTTGAACACGTATTCTAACTGTCATTACGTTCTTGCTGTCCTTTTTCCGTTCAATTTTCGATCATTATGTGACAAATGGAGGTTTAAAAAGAATTACGTTTGGGCGAGAAATTGTTTTAAAAAAATACGGCAAACTTCAACACCTATTCGGAGCACTCGGAGTTCTTTCTCTCCGATATGCCGTGTCATTCACTGAGTAACGCCATCTTTTACATTGATTTAGTAGTCAGCGGAATCGTTTAACTCTGGACCAAGGGCTATGTAGCTGGCTCCAATTAAACTACATAGAAATTCATACCATGCAGCATCCAAATTAACACCTTCACTTTAAATGTTATAAGGGTATGCCTTGATTTCTACCACGCGTCACTTACCAGGAGTAGCTGGGGTGACAGCGGCAATAGAGTGGGCTTTAAAAAGCAAGAATAAAATAGAATGGTGGTGCTTAGTATTGAAATTCATAACCACTTAGTATAAAAATGCATAATTACATTGAGAAAGGCTAAAATCCTGTAGCACTTTCAGGCTTAGACATAAAATATACTTTGAGGATCTTTCATCCAATTTTCTTGATTCGACTATTTCTTCAGTTATTTAATCAGGTAGGAATAAAGAATTTTAGAAATGGTAGAGCGTTTTCGATTTAATCTTACACATGTATTTCAGTTTCTCCTGTTTTCGAAGAAATAACAAAAATCAATCGGTGTACAACCGCTGAAACTAAATTCATTTTAAAAGAAAAGATACTCACAGGATGTAGGTGCGGTACTAGTTGAGTTAAGAGCTGAAATCAAAATAAATGAAAGTTCATTGAACATCATTATGTCAACCACAAGCATAGTGCCTTTAATTTAAATGTAACTTACGTTTCCTCATAAACGACTACAATCTGGGAGGTTTCTTCAATGATTTAACTGCTCGGAGAGATGCAAGCCTCTTTTATTCAGCTATTAATGGATTAAGAGTGTGTCCATGAGAGCACCAGGCAGCCGTGCTACATGCTATCTCACCGATTTCAATGAAACTTTGCCAGTTTTAAGGGTCTACATTTGAATATGTTTCCTGTTTGTCCGTATGATCGTCTCTCAACCATCTGTCTGTCTGATATTTGTATGTCTCTTGCAACTGTCTGTCTTTCTGTCTGTTGTTTTTCTACATTAATTTTACGCTTATCTGTCTTACCTCCACCATTACCACAATAACTATAACAAGTTGGCATGGACACAAACTCGTAAACGTAGAAACCGCTGCAGTTACGAACACGGATATTGGCAGACCACAAGCAACAATCAGAATTCGTATGGAAACACACTTTAGCACGGACAATTCCATCAGTTGCTCTCGGGTGCGAGCCATTCAACCAACCCGGTGAACGGGTGCCACATCGATATTGTCCTACACAGGACGTAGGCATCTCTGTTCCCGCTGCACCACCAAATCGATACCATCCAAACGGTAAGAAGTAATCACATATGAGATATCCGTTTGAGCGGTTATAGTAACCCATGCTTCTTTCTTCCTCTGTTAGGTATGAGTAGTAATAGCATTCTGAATGCAAAAGAGGAAAACAAATTGATAAAGAGAAAAGGGACAACAACATCAAAAATGAAGTACATTATTAATTATTAATATGGCCTGGCGATGTTGAAAGCCTCAAAGTCGTTATCACACAAAAAGCTTTAAGGCAATTCTATTGTGCATCGCTGTTTTTTGAACTCTGCAAACAGCTGCATAGTGATAATCTAGCGAGCCATTTTGATAAGAGTGTCCAACCAATCGCATAAGCTTTTAGTCAATTATTTTAAGCCAACGAAAATCCCCTACGGTCCATATATTCAAAGAAACTGAGTTCTATTCCGCTTTACCTAATAACACCATAAGTTGTTATTACATGAACAATCTTTTTTTTTCAACAAATACATACTCATTTGATGGTAGATAGGATAAAACAAAGGGTCGAAATACAACCTGAAGGAAATGAAGGAGCTGCGCTGGCGGATGCCCATGGAGCTGTGGGGAAAACAAAATTGGTGAGGCTTCCTCTTGCATTCATCGAATTCACTATCAAGAGTTACGTCATCACTGAGTCTAAACGTTTTTAGATAAATTTAAAAAATTGCAAGATTTCGAACACGACGATTCCAACTGGTAAAAATCTTTAGTTTACAGAATCTTTGTTTAATTGTATTTGCCAACTCCAACCCCTTTGGTAAAAATTGTTTTTATCTTTTTGCTGTTGTTTGTTCGATGGTTTTTTATTTGTCCATTTAAGTCATGCCTTATAAAGGCAAATTTCTTGCTTTGCAGTGAATTTAGTAGAAAAAGTAGTCGTAGTATTATTAATGATGATAATAGTATCGGTCATGGTAGTTGCAGAAGTGGTTGTTGTAGTCGTAGAGGAAGAATAAAACAAAATATACCAGCTGAGGTAGGTGTTATGCCTTGTGAGATATCTGTGAAAAGAAATAGAGAGGTATTGTTATCACGTTTGCCACTTCAGGAATATTTTTCCAAAGCTTGTTTATTACTTACCCAAAAATATGGATATATGCTATTGTACCGAATGTGCTGTAATCTCCTTATCGCATAATTTTTAAAAGTTTTATGTCAGACACAACAACCTTCATCGCAATTTTTTGAACAGGGAGACATGACAAATGCCATTAACCTCATACGCCAGATGGCAAAGATTTCTTCCCGTCCTGGATCCATCTCTCGGTATGTCTACTAACCGGTCTGTTGTGTTGTCTTTTGCCTTATTAACTGTTTATTAAAGAGGTGAGGTTTTAAGAAACTGTGGTGATGCGTCGGTAGAGAAATGTATCAAGATAGTTTGGTTTCATCAAATGAGTTGATAATGTAGATTGACCGCCGGAAAGAGTTTCTAAAGCTGACATTTGAATCGTTTGCCCTTCGTCACAGCAAATTGTCCGTCTGTCTGTCTGCTGTCTCTCAGTCAGTCTGCCTGCCTGCCTTCCTGTCTTTCGTTCTGTTTTACTTCAGTGTGTCCATTAGAATGGCTAGAATAGAGAATCTATTGGGCTGTTGAATACTGCCGGAAGACACATGTAGATTTTCTTTAAGAGAATTTAAAAAACATGTATAATATGATGAAATCCAAGAACAGCATTCACAAAAAGACAAAATTAAAAAGAAAATAAAGAAATACCTGGAGAAGGCGATATCCTGGTTGCAGTTGACGTAGAGTTATTACCTGTAAAAGGAAAATGATAATCACGTAAAAGCTTCGAAGTTGACTTCCACCAGGAATTATGCCGAGACAGATGTTATTAACAGTTGTGTGATTTTAGTCAATCTGCCTCTCTGACTATGTCTTTCCCGTGTATAAGTCGAATTTAATTAGATCTGTTCGTAACTAAATCCCTCAAGTGCCTATTTTGTCAGGCTGACCGCAGTTTCCCTATCTCTCTTACCTTCTCTATGTCTACAATAGAAATAGTGGTGGAAATAGTAAAGGAAATACTAGCGCTAGTTGTGTTGGTCGCGGTAATAAATTAGTGTTGGAAGTAGTAGTGCCAGTGGTAGAAAAAGTGGTACTGAAGGTGTCATAGTAGTGATAACAGTATAGCCGCAAGGTGGTTGTGATGTTAGTGAAAGTGGTTGTGTAAGTGGCAGTTGTATAAGTTAGGGTTAGCGGTAATGGTAGGAATAGCATTGGTGTCAGAGGGTAGGTTTAGAGGTAGATGGTAGTGATAGTGATAAGGTGGTGGAGTAGCAGCGGTGGCAACAACAGAAACAAGATAATCACCAGCTAATACTTGTTGTGCACGAATAGTCTGTAATTGAAAATAAACACCACAAGAAGTTCCAAGCAGGAATGATCATTTAACCGATATGACCCCTTTGCTCAGGTAAGAAAGCGTTTGGCACACCGACTACCACCTCTGAGTAACATTTTCTTTAGTTAGAGATACACTAAAGTACAGGAAATGGTTTTGAACCTGGGGGTTCAAGACTGATGATGACGTTCGCTTAGGTTAATTGTCGAAACGTCAGTCAGTAGTACCGACAACAGTCTTTCTCAGAGCTACAGAGGATTAGCTTACACTATCATACACTATAAATGTGATAATGAATAGAGAAAAAAATATGCGATAAGTGCTAAGTCTTGCAAAAGTACTTCAAGGGGATCGATATTGCACATTGAAATTCGAAGGAACATAAGCACAATGAGTAAGTACTATTTCTATTACTTTTCTTAAGCTTGCACCAAGTATGACAAAATACCATCCTATACCAAAGATGAATGATAAATAGTTACCAGAAGAAATTCGAAAGGAATAAACCAAGACGTTTACGCGTTAGAAATGTCTGAAGTAGAAATCAGTTACAAAGTTTACTAATGAAATAAAATTGAGAATATTACTCCCACTGAAAAGAGGGTCTCAATGGGTGATGACTTTTAGGGCTAACGGTTAAAATTTTGGCGATTTTACGGCTAACGCGTACGGTTAATATCATTCCATTTCTTCTAGAAATTTGTCATTAACGGTGAACATTGTTTACGACTAATGCTTAAAAACTGTCAATTTTTTACGCCTAACGGGTAAATTTTTTGGCGGTTTCACGGCTGTCGGTTAACCCCATTGAGACCCTCTGTAAAGTCAAGATTCTAAATTCTGTCGAAGTCTCCAGCTGTATTGACCATAAAGAGACAATGAGTTTCAGAGAGATCCAAACTGAAACAAAGGAAATGATTAGACTGAAATGGTGTGATTTTCAATTGTTTTGCCGGGGAGTGTACAATAATAGTAAATTGTGAAGATCATCGAGAGAATACAAACTTGAGACCATTCAAGTTGTACATCTTGCCAACGATCCGAAAACCGGCAAACTTTAAAACATGTAAAGTTAGCGAACAGATGACAAAAAAGTGTGCTCAGGGCTCTCTTTGGCGGATTGGAAGAGGAGGTCAAAGACAAACGAATGGAGAACCATTTCACACCAGCCCCTAAGAGAGGAATTCCGAGAAATCAGCTCCTTAGAAACCACTGCCACAGTATGCCAGGTTCCACAGGAAGAGAATGATAATCTAGTTTTGCGCATGTATAGGTGAGATTTTGTTTCCAACTCAGTCACGATTTTAAGGTAGATCATGTTCCCAGAACTGCAGGGTAAGTCTGCTCGTTCCGATGATCCATATAAATGAATGATAATCGAAACATTACGCTAAAGGCCTCATTTTCCATTACTATTTTGATTAACATGAGAAAGCATCACAAAAACTATGGTACCAGTGGATATTTATACCTGAATTTTGGGAAAACACGTTGTACCACCAATAAGAACGTTTTGACCGATGATGTCCGCCGCATTCGTCTATATCTGCGAACAGAAAAGTAATTTTGTCATGGATACTCTCGTTAAAAAAATCTAAACTTGAGTTTATGCTTACATATAAAATATTGAAATGGTTGCACTATTTGAATTAATATAATTTGTATTTTGAGGCTCTGCTTGATCTCATTGAATGTTTGTTGTTTAACTAGTTTTCACACTCAGACAGTAGACATCAGAATTTCTGCGCAAAGAATGGTGTAATATTAAGAGTGAAAATAGAGACTGATCTTTACTACTTTAAACACTAGGATATCGCGCAATGATGGATCATAATGCAATTTCATTATAAAAAATCATCTGGGAATGGGTAGCACATATTTCATTGAGTCAATTCCAACACTTTATCCTTCATGCACGTAAGAATTTCAAAATAATTATAACAAAACCCATTTAAGCCGAAAACAATCATTCTCACTATATATTTACAGGCTTGGTACTAAAGTTTATCCTATTAACAGATGGCTTTTATTGCATCGGTTAAGATTGGAGCATGGATGATGCACTCTCATATAACACATACCAGACCAATGTAGGGCAAAGATACCGTGTACTTTTTCACTAAATACTACAACACTGGACGTACCCTCACACTTTTGAAAACTTGGAGAAACCAGAGCATAACCAAGAGGGCAGACACCATCTACGGGGAAGGCCCAGTCTCTGGGTGAGGTTATACCAGGTGTTGGTGGACCATCATACGAGCAGCCCTGCCCAACTACTGCACCAGGATCTATCAAGATGGCATATGAACCGTTCATGCTCAGTGCAGCCTTAGGGGTGGCAAAATGCAGTACTGTGCGGTTATTGTCGATAATAACGTAACCAGAAAGGGCATTCACTTTGAAGACGGTAACACCATTTGACTGCAGAACCAATCGGATGAATGCTGAGCTTCTAGGCTTCTTTATCTGCAAAAAACAACGTTAATCGTAAATTCAAGTATATTCTAATTTTTTTATATATGTTTCCCTAACCTTTTGAATTCCCAAGATCTGAAAGCTAGTTCTTCCAAAAGATGATTGTAAATCTTTTTGTGGTTTCCTAGTATTGAGAATCTGGTGTGATATTTAGGTAATAAAGCTTTACTTTAAATTTTCCAATGAAGGATTTAAATACAGGTCACTCTTCTATAGGAAAGAATATAGTGTTCCTCACCACTCTGTCAAAATGAATACTCCACCATATTAGTCCAGCTCCAAACTCACTTATGGGGCTTATTGGCCTTCGTGTACCCAAAATAACATGAGGCGTACTACCTAAAAATAATTGAGTTCCTATATAAATAATGTAGGAAATGATACATGCTACTTCACAGGTAAATGGCTGACGGACTTAGTTGGTATGCATTTTATTTAATTTTTTTATCATGATATCATTATTATTACTTTTATTATTTTTATCATCATTGCTTTTATTAACACAGATATCATTATTCATTGGTTTTGCTATTATGTGTGCTTATTTGTTCGTTTTTTACTCTGTATTGAAAAAAAAATTGGACAAGACAACTCTTCGTCAGCATTAAACATTAATGGAAGAAAAGATTAGACAACAAAAGCTCAAAATATCCATTTTTCTGAAAATATAAACGCTCTACTTACTTAGCCCCACAAGGATCGTGACACAACGCCATTCACTTTGAACTCTGGAAATTGGAAATGAAAGCAAAAATATAAACAAACCAACTTATGCAACATGAACTTTCTCATCCTCCTGTAGATTAACTTGATAACCTGTAACAAATTGTTTTTCAGCTAGTACTCGAGTTTCTAGTATGAGCATAGAGCTCCGCTTGTTGGGTTAGAAAATACTGCCCGACATGCAAAAGTTGGATTCCAATGAAACACCATTAATGTTATGGTTGGTCGTGACATTAATCATTTATACTGATGAAAACTTGAAATAAGTCAATCTTAATTAGCAGCTCATCACATTCTGATTTAAGCTACAAGTTTTTTTATATATACATATAAAAGAGCATCTTACCCGTCTGAATCTAAAGCTTGAAAGCAGAACAACTGCTGCCCAACTTGGTTCTTATTCGGATACCACGTGACATTCTTGTAGAAAATGCCTCCGTGGAAGTTTAATGAGGTAGATTGCATTCCAAATGGAGAGCTTGTGGTTATCTCAACGATACTTAGTATATAAAGAAAAGAGTCTTTGTTAACAGCAAACATGACATGACAAGTAACGCTCCTTTGGATATGCTACATATAGTTCATGAACGAAAAAGACAAGCTCAGATGCCTTGGACTTAATTTCAACCTTGAATACTTACTGTTTAGCAATGTTTGGATGCTGCACTTCAATTACTGCTTTATATACTGAACCAATCTGAATCTCTGAGCATTCACCATTTTTAGGTGTGGAAGCAGTAAAAACAGGTATGTCTTGGCAAGAACCAGATCCAACGCTTATTATGGCAAGAAACTGCAGTGGCACAGCACTGAATGGTCTAATGTTATTGAAGTTTGTGGTTCCAGCTGGAAAGTCTTCCAAGGTTAAGGTTACTGCGTAAGTGCCCGATGCTCCATATCCACCTTTGTAAGTTAAAACACAGTTTTTCTGCGAAGCAAAGTATGGAAGTACCATTTAATAGATACTTGAGGTATATAGATGTTGTTCTTACCACATTTTGACGCAATCTCTGATCTATTACTGAACAGTGCGTCTTACCTCCAGTAGATCATGAGTGAGAGCCAATAAAAATGCACATAGATTTCAAATCCTTATATAAAATCGTTAACAGTCTAACCAAGCAAATTCCCAGAAACACTGAAACGTAAGCGTTGGATCGCTACCGCTAATATATTCACACCAACCCTGAACATAAAGTTTGCGTTTTCAGGCAAAATTGAGGTACAATTTGGTACAAAAAGTATAGCAGGTTCTTCTATTTTGTATACCCCTATTCTTTTTTAAATTTAGTTGTAATTTCTATTGGGTTTCTGAGTATCACTCCATTTACTCGGTCGTTGTTTTACTCAGAAAGCTCTCATGGGTCTGCTAAGAATTACCGACTTGATCCCAAAACAAGACTAAATTTACTTTTCAACTGAGAAACTTTATCCGAGTTGATTTATAGAGAAAGTCCGAGAGATTGCGTTCTTTAGCGTTCTTTAGCTTAAGTTTTGTACTTATGGATTGAGAAAAATTGTAAGGATAGAGCTTACAAATTTACCTCATCAAGTTCACCGTGAGGGAAGCTATCTCTTGGTATGGAGGACTCGGCGTCGGTTGCCGAACGGCATTTCACAAAATCGCCATCTGGATCTTCAACTGGGATTTTAAGAGACTTTTGACAACCCTGTTGAAACCGTACAATAGCCGGGCTCCTGGAGACTGGAGCTGAGTTGATTTTACCATTATCAGATCTTCTAGAAAGACTTATATTGGTAGCTATCAACCAGGCTGAGTTAGCATATCGCACAAGATTAGAAATCCAACAGCAACTGTAGTATCTGTCGACGAGACGTGAAAGAAAGGTTTGTGAAAAAACAGAAACTAGAAAGTTACCTTGATTTGGGAGGACAGGCCACTACAACAACGAAACTGAACATGAGAAAGCCTTATACACTAGTCAGCACACCAAAAAGTTAATAGGAATGGAAGGAATAAAGAGTAATTAATAGAGTGACCGAGTGATCGATGGAAGAAATGAATTTTGGGTCATTATAACAACTCAGGAATGGCTTTCAGCCATTTTCCGCGTTAAACACAGGATATCAGAAAGATACTCCAATGTTGAGGGATGATTTTGGTCATTGCAAACGACTCTTAATTGTTCGAAGCTCTCCGCTGCCTTAAAACTGCGACATTCTAAAAAAAATTAAGTTGTCTTGTATTTCTTTTTCTCTTAATGACACACCTCACATTCCACTCAAGAATGCCGGACGGAAAAGTGTAGGTGAAGTTATTTTCCCCCATGGACCAGTCTTCATCGCGACTGAAGTCAGTACAGCGAAAGCCAGTGTCAGCAATATTAGTGGTCCAACACACTGCATTTAAAGGATCGCTGCACTTAGCTCTCCAATAATTGCCAGATCCAATAATTCCTCCTACTTTAGTTGTGTTCTCATCACACTGATATGAAGAAAATGACCTTCGAAAAGCCAGACGGAAGGTAAACCGTATCTGGAAAATAATTAGAAAGATATCATGCAAAAAAGCTAGGTGATTAAAAAATCTGATTCCCCCTTTGCAGTCGCCCGATTTTGTTAATTGCTCATGTGATTAAAGAACGAATTAGACTCCAATCAGTCCTATTACCATTATTTATCACACATAAACAGAAAGCCACTTTACGCTGGCGATATTTCAAGTTAGGTGGTCAGAACCTATCGTCAGGTACGAAAAAAACAGTGGTATCAGTGGAACCTAACACCTAAATAGAAATAAAAAACCGATTTCCCTTGTGTAGCCTTGTCTACCAGACATTTTATTTCCTTCTCCATGTCCTGGAGGCTTCTGCAGCCGTTAGTCGCTGTGCAACTATTGTAAGGCGAGTATATAGTTTTAACTAAAAAACAATCGTTGATTATTCTTTTCTGAAAACGGAAAGTGTCAGTGAATTTTTGCCACCGATGCATTTTGATGAGGGGGGCGGTTTCATTCTTCAAATAATCCTCCGTTTCATAACTTTTCTCAAAAGACAGTTCTTCAATGTGCTTCATATACACACATTTCAGTAACTAAACACAGTTACCCTTGTCGTGGAAAGTTTGAAATCAATGCCTATAGTAAAAAAGGTCAACCGCTAAGACGGAAAAACTGGAAAGTTAACCAAAATTGGGTAGATGTGGTTAAGAAAGCTTAGGCGCCTGGAGGTAAATTATGAATATGACGCTAATACGTCAAATGAATAAATAATTACAAAAACCGCGGTCTTTCCAAGAAATGGCCACAGTTGGTTGCGTCAAGGAAGATATATAGTGATTCTTACTTGGCTGAGTATATCGTGCACAAATAAGTAAAATAGTAAAAAAATTGCATAATTCAAGCAATTGCAATGAAAAAGAGTCGGATTAACTCCGTCGAGCTCAATGACAGAAGGCCTTTGAAAATTGAGCAAAATCTTGGCTTGATGATAATTCGCTTGTGTAAGCGTGTGGAGAAACTTATGAATATGAACGAACAACCAGTGAGAACGCGACTTTCCAAGAACTGGGCACAGCTGGTTGAGTCAAAGGCAGAACGAACGCGATTTCATCTTGGCCAAGTATCTCTTCAAAGTGAAAAAAAAACAAAGCAGGAATAGAAAAATAAACAGTTTAAATCTCAATAACATGCTGCTCCTTACTCGCTAAGAGATTGTAAAGTTTACAAGTCACTGAATTGTGCCGCACTCTTCAAAAGAGGTGATTCAGCAGATGGACAAAAACCAATTAAAGCAATTACTGCTAAGGCTTGTTGCGCACAGACACTCTAACAAAAAAAAAACAAAACAAAACAAAAATTAGGAAAATAATTTTGATTAACATAGGCGTACAAAAGCGGTTTTTTCTTTCCAAAACACAAGTCTAAAAATACATGTAGAAATGTCTACTGACTCACTGCAAGAGAGTAGATCACGGTAGTTCAGAAATATGTAGCACCCGTCTCAATAAAAAAAAAAAAAGCCCATCGAAAGCCGTAAAAAGATCGGGGGATAGCAAAATACAAACGTATATGCTAACTGTTTCCGGCATTCGTATGCCATTAAAACCAAATCATAAAATATAGCAATAGTGTAACATACTAATGATATTTATCAAAAAAGAAAAATACGCCCATTGAAGTTTGAATCAGTGCAGGAAGCAAATTTCCTTCAATACCAAGATTCGTAAAGTCCAAACTTGTCTATCGATAACCTAGCCATGAGTCAGATTTGTTAAATGTTCCGACCTGAGGCATGCCTTCTTCAACACGGAGGAGCCGTGACTAGAAAGGTTATTATCGCCACACGGAGAAGAGGAATATGCTTTTCGGTAATGTGCTTTCCTTTTTAATGTGCCTTGACGCATAGTTTGGTCTCTTGAGAAACAAAAGTTTACAGTACTGTTTGGTGAAGTGTTTCAAGAGCTTTAAATTTGAAGGTCTTAAAAGGTCTAAACAAGGCGACAGCCAGTCTCTCTGAGCAGTCTGTAAATGCTTCGGAGAAAACGTTCACTTGCAATTATGCGTTTGCAATGTCTCATTTACAAACTGAAGAAAAAAAACCAGCCTTACACATTTAAAGGCAAGTTCATCAAATTGAATTTCAACTTCTACCACCAAGGTTTTATATACGACATGCAAAAACGGTAGACAACAAATCTCTGAAATTAGCTCAGTAGCGTGCAATTAAGGACCATACCGTGTTGTTATCAGCATCAGTCGGAGCAAAGCTCATAAGGGCATGTCTGAAGTGAGACCCTTCTACTAAAAACGACCATTGTACGAACACAAGTAAGCAAAGAAGGCGCGTGAACGTATAACGCATCATCTTGGGTAGCCTTCCGTTCCGAATGACCCACTCCGAAAAAAAAAAAAAAGGAAAAATTATATAACAACTAAATCCATTTCATCAGGCACGCTAGGCATGAGCCTAAGTTAAATCATTTCGATTAAGATTACTCGAGCGTATCCAAGGTAATCAAAAGTCTCGAAGCTATTCAATACACCATTACCTTTTCTTGATAAAATAGGGATGCATTTGTTTATTCATTTAATGTTTTTTCATTTTGTTAAAGTATAGTAGTTTAAGGTACAAGCTAAGAAATCACTTATGAAACGTAGGCTTATCTAATTAATTCGGCACACTTTGAATGAGCTCAGTTACTTCGGCATGAAACCTCACAGGGGGTTGAGTAGATACCGAGCCGAATCATTTCTTTCATAACAACACATTATGTGGTTATACAGCTCATGTTTTACTTCTGTTCAAACATGAGTGAAGAGAAAGCTTATGATATATATATTTCACAACCCAAGAGAATGCAATTAAGGTTGTTTGCCGCACATGCATAGTAATCACTTCTTTTTTCTCATGGCGTGGGCATTAATTACATGCTTAGTGCGTGAGAACATTGTCGCACCAGCTCGAAAATTCATATTAATTAGCTTCAGGAAGCACGTTTTAATTTCAGCTATGCATAACTCAAGAGTTTTGTGACTGTCATACTTCAGTCTTCAAATCCTAAAAAACATATGCTAACTTTTTCCCTCAAAATGTATATTTTTGGAATGCGAAGAACTAACTGCACCTGGTCTATACTGCAAGGCAATGTATCTACTTGAGACGAGCGCCTGCTGTGGTTAAACACTTTTATTAAGTCATGTCAACGCTTTATCTAGCAGTGCAGAGCTCGATTTAGAAAACTAATGAAATCACTAGGTGTAAATCTAACCCATCAGACACTCCATACCTTAAAATTATTTTATAATGAGCTGTTTTTAATACCCCACTTTTGAAAAGGAAAAGACTGAAGATAAACTCGCCTAGTCAGGCAGTTGTAATGAGAAATGCAACTTGAGTGCTTTTTGATTTAATAAATTTCGACCTTGCCATGCAAAGTGACCTCAATCTGCGTTGTTTGCATTTTGACTGTTCATCCTCATATCTTCATATCAAGTCGTCATGATACATTAACATTTAAACTTGATACAACATTGAAGAGTAGTGCCTACCACTTTGCACATTTCCTTGGTTAATTTAGGAGAATTAGACTCTTTTTTGAAAACATCACATGTACCCAACGTACAATGCACAACATTCTTCAAAAGTTCATCTAAATTTATTTCACTTTTTTAGTCAAGTATTTCGTATTTCAGTATGCTTCAAGTTCAGTTGCATTGAAGCTACTTTCGCAGTGTAATATTTTTGATGTGATTGAGGAAGCTGAAACTGATATAATCAATAATGCTTGAAAGTGGAGGTTACACGATCAGTGCTGCTAAGTTGTAGAGTGATCAGTACTGTATTCAGAGTACCCCACATCGAGTCTCGGAATGGACACAGCTGATTCGTCTTGACAAGCAGCATTCTTGAAGATGATTGATTTCCTTTGTGTTATTGATTCAGTGAGTATTTTTATAAACACCGAACAGCGTTCCAAACTTGACTTGTGACCTGATATTTCTCTAATTGTCTTGGAAACAAGACTTTATCACGAAACCTACTAAATGGTAATTGACTACTATTGCGTTGAAAGCGTCTTCATAAATATCGACAACCATGCACTCTCCCATGCAATCTAAACTTATTTTCAAGCCGAGTGCAGAGTCAGAGTAGCAAACAGAAATAGAAAACATGAAAACTACCTTTGCATTATTTATCAACCCAGTGATTTCATGGTTCTATTAATAATTCCGCTATTTCTAATTGACTCATTGAATTTATTTTTTTCTATGACCTTTTCAAATCTTTATTTTATTTCTCGAGCTTTCTGTAAATTCGACGCTAGTTTCGTACATGCAAACTTTGGGTTTCCTTCTTCTTCTTCTTTTCTCCTATCTTAGTATATTAGATTTTTGTTATTATAAAGGTTCTTTAAGATAATGGATACACATTGGTTGCCAAGAAAATCTGGTCTCGAATAAATGCTAAACATGCACTTCCAGGATAAAATGTCAATGATACGGTAACACTCATTTCTCTTCGTAAATGACGCCGATAAGAAAACAAAACGAACTCTGTGTACTAAACCTTCCTTCACATTAGAAATTTGGCGCAAATTGATTAGTGTTGTCACAAATCAAAACTTGGTAATGACGTATAGTCAGAAATATTCTATCGGCTTCTGACTTGAGTAGCAGTGTATGAGCTAAGAGTTTTGACTCTCGGTATCCCTCTCCACTATGTCATCGTCTTGGGTGGTGTCATTGTACATGTCTCTGACCTTGTTTTTGTTTGTCATGAGCCGTAAAATGCGATATTTGACAAAAACAGCAGCCAGAGCTATGACTCCAACCAGACCAACTCCGCCAGCGGCAGTTGCGCCTCCGATTACAGCTGCTGATTGTTTCCCTGTGTCTATAAAAACGAAAAAAAATAGAGTTGTAAACAAATTTGCTTAATGTGTTAAGATATCACGTCCACAGGCTATGACAATGAATGACTTTTATGCTTTTTTTATGCTTACCACTGATGGTCTTGCGAGGAGTACAGACTTCCAAGTGTATTCGTACAATTAAAATAGAATATAACCCTTAATTTCTCAGCCTCTGAGAACCCTGCAATCTAATTAGTGTTTCATAACCACTTAGGTATGATTTATTTTACAACTTCCTTCGGAAAATAATGTTGTTGTCAAACTTAATACTTTCGCACTTATCGAATTTTTAAGTATCTCCTTAAGTTTGTAGATCTTTGTATTAGAACTGCCTTTTACTTCGTGACGTGGAGAACATTTCCCTTTACTCTTGTCCATATACAAACCCTTTTTTTTTCAGTTCTATTTAACTTGGTACATGAAAGTGAGTCACCTCCATTTTCGTTTTGGCTTTTTCCTCGGACAATTTTGATTGGCCCTCTTTTGATGATGTATGGACCGGCTGTGTCCTCTTCCAGTCCTCGTTTCTTCCTATTAGCTGACGGTACGCATCCCTGTTGGCACCTTCAAGTCATCAAATTACGAATATTTATTTCATTGCACTGTTATCATTGAGATTTAAAACTGCGTAATGCGCATGCATCTTTAATAAAAATCTTAAATTGTCTTAAAAAAGCAAAATATTATCATCTTGTTCCAAAAACTCCTCAACATGAAAGGAGCTTATTCCGGTTGACTTTGGACTTTGGTTTTGAAATACTTTTCCTGTGCATAATCGACCGCAGTTAAACTTACCTAGATGATATAGACTCCTCAAGACAGGCTAACAGTTCACAGTGGATATAAAACGAGTCATAGTCATTGAAGAACCTGAATGCTCTCAGTGCAAATGTTTGCCAATTTCTGCTGGAGTTGTAGTCGTGACTCAGTGTCGTGTCCATTGCACACCTTTTGATACGAAAACAAAATTGCGTTAGCCACGAAAAACAAAATTGTTTTGGCAAAATGATGAAATTATCTTATTTTGATCATATTATGCTAAGAAATTAACAAACTAATTAAATTAATATTGATGCCGTTTACGTTCGAAGAGCTAGCAAGGCTAAAAGTTTAAAAAATAAATAATTAGGTAACTCCTTAACATGACACATACCCATCTTGTATAATGGGATATTGCGGTGAAGAATAATAAACTGAACTTTTCGTAGCCAAACAGTTAAGAGCCATCACCCCAAGGTTAGCACTGGACTCCACCCTGTACCCCAGATAGATATATTCATTGAGTGTCACCTCGACGGGGTAAGCGGAGTGGGGCGTTGAATAGGAAGAACTTGTGTAGACATCGAATGTAAAGTTGAAGTCACCGAATCCCTCTGAAATGATATTTTATTGTCAAACAGATAAGTCATTTGCATTAGTTTACCCAGAGATGATTAAATTTCTAGCAGACAATATGGAAGTATCTGTCTGTCGAGTCATATTCAAGTACTACATTCCCCGTCTTTTTACCACGGGCAACGAAACTCTGACATGTAAAAAGCGATCAAGGTAAAGCGTATTACTTTCCTAGGATGCTTAATGATTACAAGCGCAGTAAAACTGATCATTTGAAATCGACTCTGAAATGCTAGAAGTAGTGATTAAGCCACAGAATCAACAGAATTGCATGGTGATGAACTGTTAATTGGTGACGCATCTACGTACCTACACCGGGAACATCAAGCCTTCCCTCGGGGACAAATTGCAGGCTGAGAAACTTCGTTTTGGAATAGCTGCAATTAAACGAGAATTCAAAATCATGTTCCCGTGTAATCTGGCCGTTCACTAGCTCGGCATCTTTGTGAACAACATTGGAGAACACGATGGTGTCTCCAGTTTCGTAGAATTTTGTGCCACATTCATTTAGGGCTGTGCTTATGGAAATAAACTGTGGGCTGTCAGAGGCTGAACACGCAGGGGCATCCAAGGACATATTCCTCGCTTCAAGTGTGGTGAATATTCTCTTCTCAAATGTGACTTCCATCTCATGGGCACGGCATGTAACAGTTACGCCAGGTTCTACAGTGATGTTCAAGAAAAGTAAAATTAGGAATTTAGGCCCAAATGAATATAAATTTAGACGAATTGACATCGCGTGCGCTTTGTATTCACTTGCTAGTTGGCGCAAGTACCTTTGCTTCCGCCCTGTACCATGCTTTTTTGTATACAAGAAAGGAAAAGGACAGCCAAGATCCTGGATGCCATTTTACATTCCAAACTTTCGTTGATTATCACACCAAGATGTACCAAGTTTAAACTGAACCGCCCAACAATCTAGCAATTGCCCTACTTTGGAAACTTTCGAGAAATGTAATTAAGTTCTGGTGCCTTTCACAATAAAAATAGTTAGCGCGCCACTGAAAACTAATTACTCATTAAATTTTAAAGTTGATTTTTTAAGTACTGGATTAAAAACAGCTATTATTCCTGCCTACTGAACTATGCCTCTATGTGGCACCATATAGACAATGCAAGGGTAGCCATGTTTTTTAATGGGCTGTCGACTCAGCCATGCTCTCAGTTTACAGTTTTTGGTCACATGCTAGGACAGAACTCGCCTTTATCTAAAAAAATATATAAATTTTCGTGAACTGAAAAGGCTAAATCATTTTTTGGAGCTTCGACATGTTTTCGTCACAGAGATATTTTTGCATAGTGCACGAGAACAAAACAAACCAACAGCCAATCACTTCAGTGTCACAAAATTTGTGTAAAGACTCTTCAGAATAAAAATTCCATAAAACAAAAAGATGATCAAACGAATGGAGTCAATAACTTGTTATCAATTACAAGCCTGCTCCGTTGAGCGTGAAGACAATCCTTTGTGAGTCAAATGACAAGTGCTGTGAACAATCACGCCACTATGCAAATAAAGCAGACGGCCATCAAGCTTTTTAAATATGCATATGCATGAAAGAGCAACACCAGTCACCGAGGATAACACTTAAAAACTTAGTTTTTAGGTGGATTATACTGTTTTTATTACAGAACAAAACGCCTCACTTTATACAAGGTTCCTTTTGAGAAATAAGGGAAAGAAGGAGACAGGCCCTCAGGCGATTTCGCGTAGAAGCCATTTCCATTACGTTTTCTTCTCAAACTGAAAGCAAAATAATGTTAACCTTGCAGCATCTTCATGGATTTTACCATCTGGCATTATTTGTAGTAATAGAGGCCATTGTTAAAGCAATTATTACGGAACAGGAAATTGCTGGCTTCCAGTCGAGTGAGTATGCCAACGCGGCATAATAACCGGGAACCTTTCTAGGAAACAAGTCCTTCTGAGTAATCGAATAAATTAAGGAAAAAGGAATACAACAAGCCATGCATATGACAATTTTTACAGGTCACTGCTTTTGTGAGAGAATGTCAACATAGGTATTTCGCCCAATATGTTACCATCTCGTATTAGCTTCTTCAATGTTGTCTCCATTTTATTGGGTAAATGATGTAAATCTTATTCCATCTTCAAAAATCTTACCTTCTCTAAGTACTCTATATCGCCATCAAGTCTAATACGCGGCGTTAATTATTCAGCACATCACATTTTTAACTAAGCAAACAGAATGAACCAGAAAATGCGGAGACCCTGCTGTGCAAGCACGCCAATGCAGACTTCACATAACCAGGGCACCTTTCGCTGTCGATAGACTCCTCAGCCTATCATGCTCAGCCCCTTTGGCGCAAAGCAACCTTTTAAACGAGACTATTTTCTCTTTTGCTTTTCATTTATAAAATAGCCTACGCGTAGCCGTACCCTCCCACCCCCCCCCCCCCCCGCTAGGTGTTACGAAAGCGAGGGAACGTCTACGAAAACCTGAATCAGTCTAATCATGTTCTGTGACTTCACTCAATCAGCATCGCCCTTACGAAACTAGATTTCAACGTCCACGCGGTTTCTGCTTGCATTTGTAAACAGTGCCACGGTCGTCGAAAAAAGTTAGATCATTTGCCGCAGAATCTCAAGGTATTTATAGATTTCTTTAAGAGATAGTTACGCTGAAAGCGTGAAGAAAGAGCGAATTGAAAGAATCGCTGCAATAAACAACTAGCTTTAATTTAATCGCATCGCAGCACTGTTCGCAAAGAGATCGAAAGTTGAAGCGGCAGACAATCCTCTTGGCCAAGTCCATTAAGATAGTGCTCCTGGCCTTTTACGAGAGCTTTAACCGGCAGCACAATAAATATATGACCCTCCACGGGATTTCAGGGACTAAGGTGAACGCATGCGCACGGCACGCTCGCACATTTGCACGCCAAAAATAAAGAACTAGCTTTTAACACGCTAGTTGCGTGTCAGTTACTTACCTCAACTTCGCAACCATTGTCTTGCCGGTAGAAACAAAGAAATACGTGAAGATATTGCTTGAACTTTGCACGATATAACACAGTGACCGTGCCAATGTTATAACACGCCTCTTAAAGTTAAAGTTTCTTTCGATTTGTACGAGAAGTACATCCTACGCTGTAAGGCTTTTTAGTTCACCGATACGCCTACCCGATACGATATTCCATATCCAGTGCAACTTCGAACGCTACATCGCCAAACATAAAGGAATATCCCGACTTGCTATCAATCATTTAAAACTGTATTTTAGTTTTTTTCCATCATTTTCGAATTTCTCATTTTCTCAAAACAGCTTGCAAAACATGGGCCGAACGAGCAAAGTCCTCTGCGCTTGAAATCGTTCATGAACTTTTGAAGGTAGCTAGCACAACCTTTTTAAAATAATAAGAGCGAACCTGTATGATGCAAAGTAAATGGCTACTTCGTTGAGGGTAAACTGTGTTCTCATCGTGTTTGTCTGCTCGCTAGTCTCCGAGGCATTATCTATCTGTATTGTTAAACTTGTTAGTCCGTGTAATGCAATGGCAGCGTTTGCACTCTCTGAATCGGCGGTGCGGGGTCCGATTCCTGCTCACCACGGGAACCTTATCTTTTTTTTTCTATTTGACCGAGTTTATAAAATAATTAAATATCTGATATAATTTTTTTTTCTATTAACTGAAAGTCTATTTGCCAAACTTAAAGCATTATAGATGCCTTTGACCATCGTCACCTAACCTGTTTGTTAAAGCTTCATTTTGGGTAGATAAATGATTTTCTAGTCTGCGATTTATGCCTTCTATAATTACTGACCCTCATAAAATCCTATTGTTCTCTCTCAGCATTATATCGGCGATTTCAGCCTGAGCAAGTATTCATATTCAGTCAAGTCCAACTGTCTGAGGAAAACGGTGGCGGTCCTTTTTGGTAGCAGGGAAATTATCAGGGGTAATCCTAAACGCGCTAAAACGTTCAATATTGCAGTGGGCTGGCTGCACTGCAATATTTTTAATAATGCAGCCTGCTTCCAGCAATATTTTTAATATTGCTGCATGACTGTGGTATTTACTTCGTTACTTTTCCACTCAGTAATTTTTGAAAATTCGCGAATGTCCGCGCATAATTTATGATGAAGATCTGAAGTTAAAAAAGTAAATGAATACACCATGAGAAGTACCATTCCAGGAGACGTACAGACGAAAACATTTTACAGTTTATTTAGGGCACATCTGACAATGACAGTCTTTCTCACTTGTAAGAAATAACAATTTTCGTACTGTGAGTACTAATTACAACTGACTGATTATAATCTTCGCTCTGGTTTTCGTCTAAAACCTTTTCGCTTAACCCCTGTAACCCTGTTTCTTCCCTTTGTCCATCATATTTTTGCTCAACATCATTGTTAAACAGTTTCTCATTTTTTTCCTTGACGTCTATTTCTGCCCTCTTAGGAGTCGCTCCCTGCAAGATTTCACTTGCTTTCCTTTTAAGTGTTGATGAGGTACACTTATACTCCCTAACCCCATCACATGATCGGTGACCAGTGGTTTCTACAATAACTTGTTCTGGCACACCACCTTCGTACAATCGTGTGGCGCAACTTCGTCGAAGGGAATGATTTGTAAAGTGCCCCTCAAAACCTGCTCTTCGCATAATATTCTTAACTACGTTCCCTAACGTTTCCCTCCCCATAGCTTTATTATAATACCATACGTCCCCTTTTGGCTTTGGAAAAGCCCGCAAATAGAATGCGTTGTCACTGATTTCTTTCGGCACGTGAGATACGTATTTCTTATACAGCTCAACTGGGCAACGCTCTACATTGGTTAAGTTCTTATATGCCCGAACAACTTTCCTTTTGATACGCAAATGGCTCAAACCGCCATTATTAGTTTTACTGATATCCTCCATATACTGTAAGAATTCATTACCCGATTCGTCACTTTGTAGCGATAACTGTGAGTTTTTAAATCTCAAATTCCTGTGTTCCTGCCCAGCCCTTAGAGCAAACTGAATGCCAAAAACCCAGACCAAAGTGTGGCAAAGCAGCTCTGCGTTGTCGCTCCCTAAAAACCCGTTTTCCCACAAATAGTTTTCTTGTTCCTCCGTAATAAGATTAGCCTTGTTGACAACTAAGCCTATTCCTTGCCCAGCTTTTTCTTTCATTTGGAAATTCAAAGCTGAATTCAAACTTCTAAATTTACAACCTGTTTTGTCAATCAAAGTTACATTTCTCTTACATTTCAAACGTAAAAACGTTTGAATACTACTTATCATTTCATATAAAGTCTTTCCTGGATATTCTTGTCCATCTTCTTTTCTAACTTCGGCAATAAATCGAGCCAAGACAAAATCCAGCTGCTCTTCAGACATTTCATCTAGATTCTCGTTTATCAACGGTTCACCACTATAACTCATTTCATTTACGGCTTTATTTCTCTCAACCATCCACTGATCAAAGACTTTCAGCACCCACGCCCATTTTCGACGACTTGAGTCTGACACCCAACTTTCTTCAAATTTTTCACACTCAACAGACGTAATTGGTTTTCTGAATCTTTGCTCTTCTATAAACAATAACAAAATACAAGGAAAGCTTTTCTTAGTCGTTTAAAAATGACCCCCAAAAAGTTAAAGCGTAATTACCTTCAACGGCAGCGGCATTTTCCGACCTCTGGCTCTGCGTTATGAAAATGGCAGATTCGTCTTCCGAAGAATCCTCCATCAAGCTTCAAAACAGTAGCAACTCTTTGCCTTCCAACAAACAACTCAAATAACCAAGTGCATTGCGTTAATATACAATGCAAATTACGTTTGCATGAAATTCAATCACACACCTGAAAGATGTGGAAAGTTACATAATCTTTACAAGGATTTAACAATGACTAAATTCCGGGAAATGAAAAGGGTTATGTAATTTGTATAACTACTAGACAATACGTGCTAATTGCATTGTTGGAGAGAGAAAATAGTAGGATTTCATGAGAGTCAATGATTATATCATCTTTGCAAGTAGTTA